CTTACAAATTAATCTTGGGATATAAGATTGTATCTTTCTGATACATATTTTGTCTTTTATTTTAAAGAAACATAAGACTTTTAGTCTCGAAGAAGCAGGTAGTCCCTGCAGAATTTGTGTATACTCCTTTTTGAATAATACATCAGGATCCACCAGACTCATGGTTTTATGTTTAAAAATGTAGAACAGAAATCTGTCTTCTAGTATTTGCACCTTGAACAGCTGTTTTTATTGATCATTAAAAATGAATGAATGAAAATAAGTGTAGGTTTTTTACTTTACACAGATTCAAGATTTTTATATTTTTTAAACATTTTAAATCTTTCAATGTTTAAAGACCTGTATAAGTCCTTTGAACTGCTATAGAGTTGATGAAGTATTCCTTTTGGAAAAAGGAAAATGTCAATCTGTCTTTTCTTGTTTTCAGATGATAAAAATAGGATTCTTACATTACAGAATAAGGGAAATATGACAATCTCATATTATTTGCTTAGTGCATTGATAATAAAGCCATCAAAAGAAGGCGGCTGTAATATTACTTTACCTACCTTATGCAGAAAGAAAGTATAATATGGTGGCATTTTGAATCAATAGAGCAGCACTTCACAATTTATTATACACATTTTTCATGGAAGGAATTAGTACTGAAAAATCACTGATGGAAGGTAAAAACTGAGGAAGTGATACCTCCTGTTTCTTTTACAGCACTTCTCCCTTTCGATTTTTGTGTACGTACCACAAGTGTGGAATGATTGTACAGATATACACTGATTGGCAAGACCTGGCCTTTTCATTAAGTGTTTTGATGAAGCTGTGACAAAATTTTTTGCTTTACTCTGATGGTATTGAAGCTCATAAGATCTTTGTGGTATATAGAGCTTAAGAGAACCATTTAGGCTAATTTAACACATGCTCTGTGTCTGTTTGCTGTAGACAGCTTTCACTGTGATGATGTTTCAAATAAAAAAAGTAACCTTGACAGATTTTTAAATTATTCCTGCCATAAGCCAAACTTATTAGTCACCATTTATACATTTAAACCAGTTGCTAAATATATGGTGAGTCTGAAGTGTGCTTCATTATTTTGCTCTTTATTTTATCCTATTAAAATCTTTATATGAGACACTATCTTTTGGATTATGAGCTGTCCTCTTGAGGCTGCTTCTCTTCATGATTCTTTTTTCCTTAATAGGACTTTGGGAACACCATCTGTAAGTGGTTGCTTGTGGCACTTTTTTTTTGTTTTGTTGTTGTTGTTTTCCTGGTATTGAAAGGACCTCAGCAGTAGTTACGTTTGCTGCAACAGTAGTTGTTTGGAATGTACCTGTTCACTTTTGAGTAGAGGAGAGTGAACTGAACAGAGATTTTTTTTTTTTAATTGTGAGACTTGTACTTTAATGGAAAACGTTGGCTAAATCGGATTTCATGTCTGACTGTTTTGAGTTAAAACTTTTTGATAGTGAGCAAACCAAAATTACTTTCCAAGATTTCAAACCTGATGAAAAATTTCTGAAATAAACTACACTGGAATGTTAGATAATCAAATGCTTAAAATACTTGGCCCTTTATTTCCCATGACCCTGTGCCATTCTCAGGATAAAAACCTGCATATTGTGATTCTCAGAGTCTTGGTTTTAAAAGATGAAGAATTACAGTAGAGGAAACTAAGGGACAAAACCACAAGGACTGAAATAACTTTGTTGCTCTAAGTCTGACTTACCCAGAGATGAGAACAGAGCTGAAAGAGATCCCATCCTTCATTCAGGAACAAAATAATTGAAGAGTAATATATGTCTTTATCAACCATTCTGAAATAAGAATCCTCTTTAATATCTGCAGATTCCTCCATCTGACTGTTACGTGACCATCATAGTGATATTAAATTTACTTTTCTCTTATAAAATGCAGCAGTAGGCTTGTAGTGTTGTAGATTCTTTCAGTAGCTAAAATTACAGGGGGGAACCCAAAATGCCTTGAGGAAAGATTCCAGTTATATTTTGAAGGAGAACAATACTTGCTATTTTGCAGCTTTCTGAACAGCCTAACTCCTGGGGCTGCTGCAGCCTGCCCCAGCTTGCCTGGAAGAAGATTCCTGGGAGATGACTTAGGTGGGTGGTGCTGTCTGAGCTTTGCAGTTTTCTGCCAGGCTCCAGCTGCTTTACTGCAGGGATGAGGATGTTGTGTAAATCCTGTGCCATGGATGCAATCCCATGTTGGGCAACTAAAATGGCATTAAGTGCCTTGGTGACCAAATGGGGTCTCAGCTGTTGGATTCTTGAATTGAAAAGCTTATATAAATGCTCTATATTGCTTTATGCAGAGTTGTGCAGATTTTTTGCATTCCTTTGCAAGGATTTAGCTGAATAAAGCAAAGTGTGTTTTGTTGTGGCTTTGAAGACCCTGAAATGTTTATGCCTCTGCTTACCTTTAACCACTATACATGAACTGGACTACTCAAAAGAATACAGACAAGAACATTTCAGACATATTTTTTTTTTTTTCCCCTCAGATTTAGAGCCTTATGCTTGTGTCATGTTAAGGAGTGCTGCCTCTAGGATTAAGGCATGAGTTGTTGAGCTGGAGTATTCCTTGAGGTGAATTCTTTCTACATTTAGTTTTCACCTTTCTGACTTAGTTTCTGTGCTTTTAAAATGGAGACGGCACTTACCGTCTAATAATGCTTAGAAGATTAATTGCATAAATCAGGGATTTAAAAAAAACCCTAAAAATTATGGACATTGTTATTACTAGATTAAGCTGGAATTAATGGTGCTTAATTTGCTTTTCAGTTAACATTTAAACAGAAGTAGTCTTGATCTGAGGGGTTACCAAAGAAACGTAATTGCTCTACTGAAGAGTTAAGCTATAAAAGCATGTGGAGACATCCACCCCTTCAGAGGAACATGCTTTATATGTCATTAGTCACACCCCAGCAGTGCAAACTGTGTTGCTTGCAAAAAGGTAGTTAATGTATTTAGAGCACTTGCAAGTTAAAAATTGTCATTTTATGATAATTCTTATCATCTCATCAAGGTTGGTCTTGCTCTTCTGAGTATCTTCAATTAACGAGACTGGCCTTTTCAGATTCTGAGACTGGGAATTAATTACACTCGGTTTTTGAGGATGTCTTCTTTGTTATTGGCAGTCAGGTAGGAGGGAATGCATGATTACTTTAAGTGAAAATTAATCTGACTATTAATTGTCAGATTGCAGAAATAATAAGCATTTTTTAATGAAATTTAATGTTTGCTAAAATGCAGAAAATCTTTTCTGAAATGTTACAGCTCAGGTCAGTAGTTGAAACGCCATTAAATTCAGTGGATCAGGGTGTTTTATCTGTGGCATAGGGTTTACATGTTTGCTGATCCTTTATTTGACACTAAAACTAATCTAAAAGTTATTCTTTTCTAGTTGGAAATGGACTTCATTCTGTAAAAAAAAATAAATATTTTTTTCTCTTGTGTGAAATAATAATGCTTGGTATATTGCTGTGGTGCCTTGTAGGCTTTATGAATGTACCATGTTCACAAAGGCTTTAGTATCATAATGGGCTGAATTCCCTGATGGAGCTGCAGCTCTCTTGTCTTCCTTTACTGCAGATTACTGCATACTAAACTTTGCTTTGCTTCTATCACTTCAACTACTGCTATTACAATTGCAGTTAAATGTTAATTTAGCTGCTTTATAAAGATAAATTGTCATGAAAGTTATATGCCACACACAGACATACCATTTCAATTATTATTAGTAGATCTAGCAGTGGTAGGATAAATTGGATGGTAGGCTGATCCACCATAATGATAACCCTGTGAGAATCCTGCAGATTGGGTTTTGCTGGACAAGTGAGTGGAATGAGCTCACCCTGGTAGTAACATGACCATTAGGCCCCACCTAGCAGGGGACAGGAACTCATGGACACAGGGGGAACAGGGTGTGAGACCTTTCCATTCAGGGGCAGCCAAATGCTGCATTTATGCTGCTCTAGACATAATTTCAAAGTGACTGGTAAGATCTTAAAGTTGCATTAAGCCCTTGTCCATATGTAACATAGCATGTCATAAAATATTAGATGTTCCAAACTCTAAGGGTTGCTGTCCAAACGGGTTTGCAGACCTGAAATGGGAGAAGTATAGAAAGGCCTAAAGGGTTTTAGTGTTCTCACTGACCTCAGGGTCTTGTATTATATTTCCGTCAAAACAAAAACAGTGGCCAATAGATATGGACCACCTATGTTATCATGATAAGTAGCCATAGTGGGCTATCATGAGAAGACTGTGCCTAGAAGAGACATAGGGAAAAATCCCCCATTCTGTCAGATTAACTAGAAAACCTCTTCATAAAATTATTACTACAACAGCAGTCACAGTATAAAAAGATGTATCAACTATTCTGATTTTCAAAGGACATTTTCTTCTGAAGTAAATTCAACATCTTGTTGCTTCATCAGGAAACATTTGTGTAGTTTCTGAATGAATATTCTCCTCTTATTTCTTTAGTGATTTCCCGTAAAATCCAAAGGTAGTTTTTTTTTGGTTTTTTTTTTTTTTTTTTTTTTCCATGCCCAGTCTAAGGTCTAAAGTCCTTCCCGAACAGGAACACTCATTTTTCAATTATTCCCCAAGGTCTTGAAAATACTGGAAAAAAAAATAAAATCAGAAAGTGTTGAAAATTCTGACAAGATTTTGGAGGCTGATTGCAAGTGTTAATCAGTTTGTCTGAACTACACAGAATCAGATATCTTTCAACAGGTGATTGTAGCTGTGTTTTCAGTGCCTAAGAATTAAGTCCTTTTAGGAAACCTTTAAAATTTTGAAAAATTTCCATTTATTTTTCATTCCCTTCAGTTCTGCAAAATGAAGCATAAAAGCATTCATTTTTTTGGCAACCATTCCAGTAATTTTAACAGTTTTGAGACCAGGGCACATTACACGTATTTTGTGTGTTTCTGGTTTCATAGGTATTATACCTGCTCTAAAATAAGTTATTTTGCTTCCTTTTAGAGCTGAAACATGAGATCTATGTTTGGAGACTGACAGCACAGCGCATTAACCCGGCCAGCAGAGAGGAGACTGCCGTGAAATGCCTCTTGATGCAGAAGGTGCTGACTCTAGAGATGCTCCTGAAGAAGAAGCTGAGGACGTTTCACAGGTGAGTGGTGACCAGCATGTCCCACCTCCCCTGCTCTGACCCTCATTAGGGACAAGCTTGCAGGTGTAGGCAGTTTGTTGGACTGCTAGGAAGCTCCTGCTGATCTCAGTCTACATCTAGGAACGATAGCGTTGCTTTGCTAATGTCAGGGTTAATATTTCTGTTTGCTTCAACCAGCCAAGGACTCACATATAGTAATTTTAGGCAGAGCTGGAAGTGAAGGCTTTCAGGGATCTTCACTGGGATGAGACCTATATTCTTGTCTTTATACAAGTGTTAGGGCAGATACGAAGAGTTACCCTCAACATCAGTAAAACACAAAGTATTTTAGGACAAAACCTATGTGTAAAGTCTGGAAAATATATATCAGTATGACTTGAATTTAGAGGCATAGAAATTTCAGGTAGTTTTTGGCATAAAAAAATCACAAATATGTCATTAGACTTTTCCTTGCAATAGTGGCTTCAGTGTAGAATGTTACACTTTGGCTTTTTAGTAGTAAAATGCTACACTTTGGTTTTTTATCAAAAAATTCAAATGTTCTTCAGTGAACTGTTGAGTTTGAAAAACATAGAATCATAGAATAGTTAGGGTTGGAAAGGACCTTAAGATCATCTAGTTCCAACCCCCCTGCCATGAGCAGGGACACCACACACTAAACTATATCGCCCAAGGCTCTGTCCAGCCTGGCCTTGAACACCGCCAGGGTTGGAACATTCACGACTTCCTTGGGCAACCCATTCCAGTGCCTCACCACCCTCACTGTGAAGAATTCTTCCTTATATCTAATCTAAACTTCCACTGTTTAAGTTTAAAGCCATTACCCCTTGTCCTACCACTAGAGTCCCTAATGAAGAGTCCCTCCCCAGTATCCTTGTAGGCACCCTTCAGATATTGGAAGGCTGCTATAAGGTCTCCACGCAGCCTTCTCTTCTCCAGGCTGAACAGCCCCAACTTTCTCAGCCTGTCTTCATACAGGAGGTGCTCCAGTCCTCTTATCATCCTTGTGGGCTCCTCTGGACTTGCTCCAGCAGCTCCATGTCCTTTTTATGTTGAGGCCACCAGAACTGGACACAATACTCCAGGTGAGGTCTCAGGAGAGCAGAGTAGAGGGGCAGGATCACCTCCTTTGACCTGCTGGTCACGCTTCTTTTGATACAGCCTAGTATACGGTTGGCTTTCTGGGCTGCAAACGCACACTGCCAGCCCATGTCAAGCTTCTCATCTCATGTTACCAGTGAATTTCTGTGTTTTAAAATTATTTCATAATCAAATCTTCAGTGTGAGCCTGAGTGCAGACATACTTAACTGTTTATGTATAGAAAAGAAGTTTATTGAAAGTAGGACTAACAAAAACGTTAACCTTATTTTGTGTACATTCCAGCAAAATCATTTGTTATGCTATGGGATTTAATGACTGAAGATAGCAGTGATAAATACTCTAAAAGTATAGAATTGACTATACTGAAACTGAATTAATATTTTTAATTAATAAGCATATCAAATAGGCAGTATGAGTAAGGCCATGCAAATATGATATCTTAAGCTATTTCAGTAATATGACTTTTGTTCACATTTTTTGTTGGTATTGTGTACTTCAAATGGAGTGACAGTATTAATACTTAAAGACAAAAAAGGTTGTTAAGATAGCCTTCTTTTAAAAAGATTATAATAGTTTATTAGACTTTACAGTACTCTAAAGAAGACACTTCTGACATACAAATAAAAATTTTATATTTAAACTTAAAAATCAGGATTCCTCCAGCACAGTACATTTGCAGCAATGTAAGAATTCATTAGCATTAACAGCAGCACTCCTGAACTACAAATCCCAGGACTTTTTGCTAGAAGGCTGACTATGCTGATAACATGATATCTGGATCTTAAAAATTCATTATAAAATGCAAATGTGAAATACGTGTGTTCTGACTTGTGGACGTTAGCACGCGACCCTTGTTTTATCGCAAGTGCAGGGTACACATCAGCTCCTGAAACTGTGAAGGGAACTACATATTGCTTATAGCCAGATCCTATACTGAGGTCCATACTCTGGGGGCTAGCTCCTTCCAAGCCTGTGGCACATTTCACGAACCAAAGTGTCTGTGTATTAGTGGAGCATGTTACAAAAGTGGAGTCTTAGTGAATGCTCATGGGAATTTTGCTGGTGGCTGTAAGAAGGCCATGATTCCTTTGTGGTATGAGTTACTCCATATGGGGGAAAAGTTGCTCTATTTGTGATGAGAGGGATTTATTCCAACGCTCTTGGCAAAGCTCTAATTTCACTCTGGAAAAAAACAGGTGTTTTTTTCTTTCAGGCAAATTTCACAAGAAGATAAAAACTGGGAAACAAATATTCAGGAACTCCAGAAAAAAGTAAGTAGTTGGCAGTTTTTCTCAGTGTGTGTGCACCTATGCCTTTATACAGAGAGTGCTTTGGATCTGATGCAAATTTAATAACTCTCAGGACAGCAGAAAAGCTGGCAGGCAAGCTGGCTGGCTTCTCAGTGGGACAGGGTACCGAACCACATTGTGAGGTTTTGTTAGGTTTTATACTTTTGTTCCTTAGATATCATTTAAAGGATCAGTAAATGATTCAGCAGTGTTTTCTTAAATTTTTAATCTGTGGTCAGAAAGACTCAGAAGGTGTCAATAGGTTGTTTGTAACCGTGATGCATGATGATAGGGTACACTCCTGATGATGTACCGAATACTGACTCTAGCTTACTATACTATCTGTGACATGCCTGCTTTATTATTTAAAGAGGGATAAACCACTTGGATAAATCCTGTTCTCTTTGATGTGCACACATTAATACTGGCTAAGTCTTTATGTTGAAGCTGGGTCTGATGAGGAGTAAATTCTGTAGTGGGATTAATTTAACCTAAATTTAGTTGTCTAAATGTCACATCCTTCCACGTCGCTGGCATTGCTAATGAAGTGAGGACTGTGTTTGGGAGCTCAAGTCCATGATTGGGACACCACTGTCTATGTCACACCAAACCAGAACAAAACCAACAGAATTTCTTATTAGGTTTTACACCTTTTTCAAGGCATTGCACTAAAGACAAACTTTCTAAAGATCAGAGACTTGTACTTTAGTAGAGCTTGGAAGTATGTGAATCGAGGTCAGGACTCAGGGTGGGAGATGGTGATTCCCTGGATTGGTAGCAAAGTGAGATGGGATCAGAGAACAGAAGCAGAGTCATGGTGGAAAGCACTGGGTCTGAGGGTGAGAGCATGAGGAGATCAGCACAGGGGTGAAGGAGCTGGGCAAGGAAGTCTAGAAGCTCCATAAAGATTATGGGCTTGGCATGTCCATGATAGTTGTGCAGGAGGCATGAAAGATCTAACCTCTAGTCTAGTTTATAGGTTTTCAAAGCATAAGTACAAAAAAGGGTGATTTTGTCCAACACCATGAAATCACAGAGTGCCTGGAGTGCCCTCGGTAGTAGGAATTGCATTTCAACCCTACTTCTCCTACTGAAATGAAGGTGTGATAGGGGTAGCTGAAAACAGCTGAGTGTATACAGGCAGGTGCTAGCTACTTGTATCAGATAACATTTGGCCACATATTCATGTTTTTTATAGGTATGCATGAAGTGCTTCAATTCTAATAGTTCTGTCTTTTATGCTGAAGAGGAATACACAATGCAGGAACAGAAGTTTGCACTTCACATGTACTTTTGTGAACTCTATGCATTATAGATAGATCATTGTTTAATACAGTTATTTTCCCTCCCTGTCTGCAGCACAGAATAACAGACAAAATTCTTCTCATCAAATGCCTGACTGTGCTGGGATGTGTTATTCTTATGTTTTTTCTCAATTCATTTGTTCCAGGCATCTACCTAGATCTCGGTAAGTTCCATAGTTTTGTTCTAAGTAAAACAAACAATCTCTCCAAAAACAACAGTAATATTTTTCTGACTCTGGATCTTCTCAGAAAGCCCTTTTCCATATGTCTCTGGCCATGCAATTCCACCAGGCGAATCAGAATAACAGTTTCTCAGAACAGGTTTTCGAAATGCAGTCATGTCCCAGTCGCCCCAGGAGGAATAACAGAGTGTTCATGACTTCATTTCTCTGACTTCCCAGTGCTAACGAGCTGGCTAAACATTACATAATGAGCAAGTTTGACCTTGGCATTATTGCACTGTAGGCTTGAGTGAATGGCCAAGATGCATTATAAAGATCAGAATATAATCCATGAAAGAACGAAGAAGTAGTATGGCTTTATTTCTTAAGTAAGATAACTCTTTGTATAACTTCCAGTCTCCATTAATTTATCACCAGAATATTATCTTCCAAAATAAAATCAGGAAGACACTGTATATGTGTGAAATGAAAGTAGCTGTATGCATACTTTCTATGTATAGACCTATATGTGCAGGTTTTTACACAACTAGTTGTATACCTGTGTGAGAACAGGTGCTGCACATCCTGAAACAAGAACCAAATTAACCTTCACATTTAACCAAAGGACAGTCATAAAACTTATTTGTGCATTGCCCTATAAAAAGTTAGAAATTTTTCTTTTTGGCTGCTGAGCACTTGAAAGTTATGGAATTTCAGATTTATGTCTTCTTCATGCAATCTGAATACCCCCACTGTGTACTTTCATCCCAGGGACTGAAAGATGAAAGTCTTGAAGAGGAATAACTCATAAGTCAGAGAATCAATCATCATACACAGATACTACATTGAAATCCATTTTAGTTATGCTCAGTACAGAGCTAGTTATAGCGGTACAATGGTGATCAAGTTGTAAAGAAGACCTTCCATATCTACTGCTGACATCCCTGGTATATTGACTGGCTTAGAAAGGTACCAGTAGCAGAAAGCTGTTCTCTATGCTTTGAGCTAGGGAAGCACCAACGTTGTGTGTTCCTGGCACCAGCGGGAGGATATGTGCTACTGTGTCCGGAGGAACATGTTTTAATAGGTATAGCTTTGCTGCTAAATGCATTTATTCCAGGGACAGATCCCCAGCCCTCAGAAGCGCAGGATGACTTGTGTCCACACTGCTCGGACCTTGTCCCTTCAGAGTAGACTGGCCATATCTTCACAACACAGCACCTGGCCCTGTGTTTCCTCTTGACATTGTATGTATGGGTTAATTAATTTTTCGGTTTGCAGCAAGGGCAGTTTGGTAGCCTAGCATAGCTGTGTTTTAAGATTATGAGGCTGAGGGCATATATTGTGCTGTCTGGTATACGTGATGGAGTTCGAGTGTATGAAACCACTAGGAATAATGCTGGAGCAAAGAAACCCAAACCTGATTCAGACTCATCCATGCTGTTGTTTGGACGTGATCCCTGAAATCAGTTCTCTCCAGAACTTGCACCTTGGTTTATTTTTAGCTTAGATGAAACAAGCTGGGTCATTGCCAAAGAGTCTGGGAGCAAAGCAACGCTTACCCAAGAGGGGCTCTGGGGAACTAGGAACTCGCTGTGGACTTGTGCTAAGCAGTTGTCAGTGTTAATCAACCCAGCAAGTCCTTGTTGGCATGCAGTGGTAGTCCTGGTGCCCTGGAGCAGCAAGAGTTTAGGAAAGGGATCATGTCACCCAGGCTTTCTTCTCCATTTCAGCCAGCGCTGTGTGGCAGCTGCTATGGCAGCTTCCCTGTTTCAAAGTGTTTGCCATGGAAATGGGCAATTTCAGCCTATAAACATTAGTGGCTGTCAAGAAGTTAAAAGGTACACTGACGTATTTTAACAGCAAAAGTGCTATATTACTAAGGTGTAGGAAGATGCAGAAACTGAAGACATTTGAGGTCATTTGACGTCACAGTGGCTAAGAATATAAGGAAGGCATTCACATCAACATTTTAAGAAATCAATTTTCACCCTTACTTTTCTGTCTCAGGTGAGTGGGAACCGAAGCATGTAGGATTTATTGAATTAAACCCAACATCTATGAGTGTTTTTGAAAAGCCAGTCAGTCAGCAAAGACCATATATCAGTAGTTGCATATGCTGCTGGTAAGATAGTCTTTCGAAACTGTAAAGCAGTTGGAGTCAATACTAGAAGAAACAGTAACTGATGATTGGTTTCGTCCTACTTTATGTCAGTAATATAAATGAAAACAAATGGCATGGTTGGCAGGCAATGCAGGTTTCTATTATTCACCAGCTGATCTTCAGCTGCAACCTTGAAAGTAAATAGGGGCTCCATGTGGTCTGTATAATTTCTCTGTGTTCTGTATTCATGGCAAACCTGTCAGATTAATGAATGAATGTTATTAAAGCATATACATAATTTCTATTAACAATTAGTGGAACCTGCAAACTTCTAATGAGATCTCACTGGTTCCTGAATTCCACTATCTTGATGATAGCTGTCACTTATTTATCATTACTGAAGAAGTGCCACTGTGAATCTCTATGGATTTTAGTCCTCCAGTGCATGGAAATGAATTTCTTAAAATACTGTACATCTTGTACTCTGGTGGTTTGGGTAAAATTGTTCAATATGTTTTTCTCATAAAAATGAAAGTAGATTGTAGTTCAGTGTTTAATTTTCTACAAGAATAATGTTTTATACAGAGGCTGAAGTGTTGGAAATCTAATAACTTTTAATTGCATTTGGTAGAGAGAATTAGAAAGATTATAGAATTCTTTATCAGTCCCCAGCCTTGATCCAATTTTTCCATTATGAACTTAGAATCATTAATATAATTTGAGGGAACTGACATTTTAATTTAAATAATAAAATTTGCATACTTAGCTGTCGTTTCAAATGCAGAACATTTTCCTATTCAGATTTGTACCTGTTCATCAATTTATTTAGTCTAATTCTATGAAAAATCTATGCTAATGAAAGATTAATACCAAGACTTTAAATAAACAGATATGGCAAACTTGCAGACTTCTACAGTGCTTTCATTCATCCCCCTAGGATTTTACTTTCTTGATAAAGCATTGATAAAGCATGTGAGAGAAGATGAAAAAAGATCAAAGTAAAGCCCCTTTGAGGATTGTACCTGGCTCCTATTTTGACTTTAACTCTCAGGCAGGCATGTCTAGAGCTTTGAACTACAGTGAGAACCCCCAAGAGAGACAGAAGATTTTAAAAGTAAAATAAAGCAAGATTCTGTTGAAATGTAAACTAGATTTCCCCCTGCCCCTTTTTGATAGAGGATGCTTAAAGTGAATGGATCAGAAAGAATACACAAAACCAATTTGTAACCTACTTCTTTTTGTTTCTGTGGGGCAGGTCCTTCCCCTTTGGTTTGGTTTCAGCCAGTTCAATGGGTTGCTGAGCTGTTGTGAACTCTGGAACAGCTTCTAGTATCCCCATCACCTCTGTGGCCCTGCTTTTGTCTGCCCCCTCAGTGATCTCTGCACACAATGCAGGCACGCTGCTCCTTGTGGCCCGTCTTGTTCTTGCTTCCTTCCATCTCTTGAAGCCTCTTTCCCAGGGCCAGACTGAGTAGTTTCCAAGGCAGGGGAAGGTCCTCTCCTCGTTTTAGAGGGCTGCAACAGACTCTCTCATATCCAAGAAACTAGGTTCTAACCCAGGAGCAAACAAGAGAGATTGCTTGTTTCAGAGAAGTGATGCTTCTCTGTTTTGGCTGCAGACTGCTGGAAGCTGGGCAGGTATGACAGGAAAGATGCAATTGTATGTTTGCCTTATTTGTATGTTCATTCCACATTATTACTGCTACTTTCCTTCTTGGAGACAGGACTTTTGCATAGGTGAACTTATAGTATTACCACCTATGGCTGTTCTCATGTTCCTTTGAAAAAATTAATTATTTATGCAAGGGGACAGGGAGAGGTTTTTGGATTCACTGAATTCTTCCATGATTTAGGACTGCTATTTGCTCCAGCCCCAGTGAAAGATAGAGTTTCAAATCATAGAGCTTGAGGGAGCTATCTTGGCCTTTTTTGCTTCTTCACCTATTGCCTGAGCCCATTTTGGTATCTTTGTTGCCATTTGTGACTCATCTGAACTATACAGGTCTAATTCATTAAGTGATCCACCTTACCCTACATCACTCTTTAGATGCCAGAGGACATTTTCTCAAGCTATACTGAATTTTAGTCATAGATCCTTAGAAACAAAACCCACAACAGCTAGATGGGCATTTGGCTTAGTAATTGATTATTTGGGGGTTTCACTGCTAATTAAATTTAATTTTGGTACTGCTAACCAAAGCAGTGTTAGCAAATAACCCAAACTTACGAACTTTAAAAAAAATTACACTTTTATTCCTTTAACTAGCTAACATGATTTCTATGACCTTTCTGGGTACCAGGACCACTTCTATAAATCAGCATTCACTTCTGTCAAGCAAATATCCTAAGTCTAAGTTTTCCATGTTGTCATTTCTCTAAAGGTAATATCAATCAATATTTACAGACAAAGGTTATCTTGTTTGATGGGGTCTCATTTATGTAGTTAAATCTAGTTTCTCTTGAAAACCTCTCTCGTCTTCTATTTTCACTGTGGTTTAACTTCAGTCTGTGGGCTTGGTTTGCAAATTCAGATACTTTTGAGGATCTGAAAGTCTCTTTTTGCAATTTATCTTAACTAGTTCTATCTTCCATCATTGAAATATTTTAAAACTGTGACTGAAATAGTGGAAAAGTAGGGAAATAATTGTTTCCATTCAGTTTAAACTGGCTTTTTTTCATTTGGTAGGGCACATTGTGCAGAGCTCCTTTTAATTTTATTGCCAGAACATTAAAGGAGAAACGTGTTCAGCTGCTGTCAATACAAAAGATTCCTGTTATATTGTCACTCCTTTGGATACCAACTGTCATATTTTCTCACTCGTTTACATAATTTACAGAAAAAATGTTGAAATTCACATGAGAAATTAAATGCCTTAATTGGAAAGGACTTCAGCAGAAC